TGCTGGTTTAAGAGAGTCTTTCTATTACTTGATGTCCTGAAAATAGGCATTTTGAAGAATCTATCAGAGGCTAGTTAGAATCTTCATGTGACTCCCTTGAGCAGTTACTTTAATCAGTTGAAATCCCTAGACTTTAACTCTCATATTCCAGGAAATACGGAACAATGGGAATTTAAATCATTGTTATTATATACGTATTTTTATAATGACTATATTTTAGCCCAATTTGCAGACTTTTAGCCTTGAAAGGACTGTAAAATTTATGTAGTCCAGTAAAACGAATTTCTCCAGGGACCTCACAGCTATCTATTGGCTATCTATCCAGGAGAAGAACTTCTTGTGCAAGGCTCTTTATTTAACCTCAGTTGACGTTGTGCTGCAATCTCAAAGGCAAGTGGTTCTAATCCACCAGCTGCTCCACAGGAGAAAGATGGGCAATCTCCTCCCATGTGATTAATTGCCTCTAAAACCCTGCTGGGGAGGGGGGTCAGCTATGTATCAGTTCTGACTCAGCGGTAACCAACAACATTACTAACGCAGAGTAAAGCAGGGACCAAAAGGAATTTCTTAAGACTTCCAAAGAGATACTTTTCTGGAATTTGGGAAGAAGCTGCTCTATATCTCATCATTTAGGTTCTTTTTTTCCAACAAACATCCTTCTTCAAACCCACACCCTTTCCTTTAGTCAGGAAAGAGTGAAGAATAAAAGAAATGGAAGGAGTCTCTGATATTTCTGAAACCAGTGAACTGACTTTGTGTTCTTTCTTAGGGTCTTTAGGAGAAAAGTAAGTTGAATCTTCCTGAATGGATGAACTTGCTGAATGAACACTAACACTGAATCTTTAAGATCTAGAAATCCTGATATTGACCCAAAATGTCTCATATGTCTGATCCACTGAGTATTAGATCCATTTTCTGTTGTTGTTATGGACCATCAAGTTGCCTGCAGCTCATAGTGACCCTATGCAGAAGAGCTCAGAACACTGTCCTAATCTGAGCCAATCTCACTATCTCTAACATACCTGCCCCTCTTACCCCAGTCACAGTGACAATCTGTCTCACCCAGAGCCTTCCTCTCATGTGCTGTCGCTTCACCCTTGCAAGCATGATGTCCTTTTCCAAGGACTGGTTTCTCCTGGCAACATACCCAGCATATGTGAGATGGAGCTTAAAAATCCTTGCCTCTAAAGAGCAGCCTGGTTTCATCCTCTTTAAGACAAACCTGTAGTCTACTTAATACATTTGCTTTGAGCATATTGTCAAGTTGCTCTTGAGTCTACCAGTGGGTTGTTTTTGTCAATATATATATCTGTACCAAATTAATTAGGATGATAGGTATAATAGATCAATGAAGTCTAGGTTTAGACCAATTAATTCACCCTCTTTTATTCAATCCATGATGCTCACCTCTTGGGGCAGACGTAGCTCTTGCCATGTGAGATTTGATTGGCCTGCCTCTATAAGGATGGAATTTGGTCCATTGAGAGGAATGGGAATCACAGAACACTTGATTGTGCAAAATTTATGCTGAGATCAGGAAGCCTTTTGCGAACAGAATAAAGGAACACTGCATGTTTCAACATCAAGAAAGGAGTGCATCAGGGATGTATCCTTTCTCCACGTGTTTTTCCAATCTATATGTGAAACAAATCATTTGGGAGGCTGAACTTTAAGAAGAGAAATATGGCATCAAGATTGGAGGAAGAATCATCAACAGCATGCATTATGCAGATAATACAACCTTTCTTACTTTAACTTGAGGAGGGCTTGAAACATTTGCTACAGAAAGTCAAGGACCTTCAGTATAGATTACATTGCAATATCAAGAAAACAAAGATTTTCCCCATCAGGCTATTGGCAACATTATGCTACTTGGAGAAAACATTGAAATTGCTAACAATTTTATTTTGCTTGGATTCACAATTAACACCCTTGGCACCATCAGGCAGAAAATCAAAAGATGAATTGCACTGGAAAAATACGCTGTCAAGGAACTCTGCAGATTGCTAAAGAACAATGATGTCACTCTAGAGATTAAAATGTGCCTGATCCAGGCCCTGGTGGTCTCAGTTGCTTGCTATGCATCTGTGAGCTGGACAATGAATAAACCTGGCAGAAGAATTGATGCCTTTGAGTTGTAGTATTGGCAAAGAGATTGGACATACCATGGACTGCTAAAAGAACAAACAGGAATGAGAGAAACCAGGCTACTCCTTGAAATTTTGAAACTACCTCACATACTTTGGGCATGTTTCCAGTAGGGACCACTCCTTGGAGAAGGATATCATGCTTGGAAGGGTAGAGGGTCAGTGCAGGAGAGAAATACCCTTGATGAGACAGATTGACACAGTGACTTTAGCAAAGGAATCAGGTGTGTCAGAGACTTTACGGTTGTCTCAGGAGAGGGCAAGATTCAGTCATTGTTCATAGGGTCACTATGAGGCATAGTTGACTTGATGGCTGATAACAGCAATAACAACATGAGTTGCTCAGTGATCCAGTGTGTGACAAGCCTTCATTTGTGAGAATCTGAGATAGGTAAGAAGATAGAAGATGGCAGAGAAGAGAAGAGGAAGGAAATAGGGAGTACCAAAGTTAGCAAACTTGTTTAGAGTATTGTTCAGCCCACTAGCAGGTGACTTTCTGTATACACCGACTCCTCACCCATCATCATGGTTAGATTATAAAGACCAGATTGTTATGTGAAATTGGAGCTACTTGAGAGTGAGGGATTCGACACTTCATCTTCAGTGCTGGTGTTGCCCCATTCACCATGATGTGCGGGGTGAAATGATTCCTCCTGCAAAACACTTTTCCCCTACTTTGGAATCCATAGGCATTTATAGCAGTGCTGGTGTTGTTGGTAGGGTCACCCACAGCCACAGTTCACTCTAGGTGGCAATCTTTCTTGTCCTCTATGCAATCAGGTTCCCTGACTCTGAGGTCAGTCTTGCACACCCCTTTTCTCTTTTCTTTCCTTCTCTGCCCCCCCACCCCCCGCTGACCTTCCCACAACCTTCTGTTCCTCATCTACCCTCTCCAGTCTTTTCACTGTCACCATGTGCCCTCTCTATGGCTGAATGAAGACATTGCACACAAACGAGAGACAGCAGCCCATGACCACTGTGTCTGCTTTCCTTCTTATAGCCCCCGGGACCTCAAGGACCTGTGGAGTGTGCCCTATCCTAGCTTTGGCTCTGTGTGAACCAATGGAGGCAATGCCTAAGAATACTTCTAAAGTTGTTGTATATGTGATATGTCACATAATAGTCCAAAGTGACAGGCCATTTTAAGGGTAGCATTTTAACCAATATTTTTATTATTCATATACATTGAGTTTCATGCATATAAGTTGTGTTTTACAGTCTTACAATTACATCCTATTTCATTCATATATATTGTAGGATCCTCCATTTATAATTTTCTTACTAATAATGACTTTAGTAAAAGTGTGTAAGCCTCCTACTTCATGTTTCATATCCTAATATCCCCCTTTTTGATAGGCAATTTCCGATTTGCCATCCCTATCAAACTCAAACCAGTACTCCAAGGAAACGGGTATGTCCCTTTTGTGGAAGCATTCTCTGTTCAACTTGGAAACTTTGAGCACCGGTATACACATACAAAGACCAGTCCAGACAAAGTCCATCAAGTTGCAGCAATAGATCTGGTTCTCACCTTGCCTTTCTAATCATCCTGTGCCATCTGTGGCTGAACGAAGACATTACAGACAAACAAGAGACAGCAATCCATGACCCTAGCTCACAGCGTGGATCATCCTCTCTGCATTTAGTTGGGTTCTTGGCAACTCATCCCCAGCCATCCGTGGTTAGGTTCAAGTGGGCACTCACACTTCTCCCTGGGTTCCAGATTTGTTAGTCTCTTCACTTAGCCCTAGAACCCACATGCGGCCAAGTCAATAAGCCAGCCAGGGGTCCTCACATGTCTCTATTCCTCAAGCCAAAACCCCGTTTGTCCACATAATTGTGTATGCTAGGAGGGCAGTATTGAAAGACACACTCAAGCTCAGCCTGTTTCTCTGTTATATTCCTCCCACTTCCTCTCCTGTGGGTCCAGGCGATCACTATGAGTGAGCATACTCCAATCGCAAGTCTTAGAGGTGGGTTCTGATGGGTGCCGAATTTACACAGCCTCAGAATTCAAACAGCTTGTTCCAGTTTTAAAAGACTTTTCTTTTTCACTTCTTTCCTTGAATGCTTGTTCTTCTTTCAAATGAGAATCTCTTCAATCAATATCCAAAACGGGTCTACAAATCCATTCAAATACAAATCTCCTCATTGTACTAGGTGGGACTGAATCTTTCCCCTTGACTGAGCCCCAAGACCCACTATCAGATCCTACTTTTAATAAGTTTATCTGCAGAGCAAATCTTTCCTTTTAGTACTTCAATTCAACTACTGATAGCAGGCCATTTTTAACTCTCAGTATGCCTACAAGTATTTTACAAATGAAGATTTCAAGTTGTTGAAAGAATGGACACAGGTAAATGTTGTGATTTAATGTAGCCATTGTATGTTAAATATTTTTTATCGTGAAAGAGATATTAGCTTGCAGCAGTCCAAAATGGATTCTCAAAAAGTGACTTGTTAAGGTGAAAGCAGACTCTAAAGTCGTGAAAAAATTCTAATACAGCAGTAGGACTCTAGTCGTCAGTAGACAATCCCATTCATTGAATCGTTGTATGGGCAGGCGGATGGATTGATGGATGAGTGGATAGATAAGTGGATGAAATAGACTGAATAGGCTAGAACAAGAAAGAATGAGATATTGTCTGTTTTTTTTCAAGCCTTATGAAATAACCCAGAAAACTAACAGTACTGACATAATTTAAAATTACTGAAATGAATTATAGTTGAAGTCATAACAGCTGGTTCTACATTTTGTTGTTCCATTAGGAGCTGAAATACACTGGAAACCTCTTAGGAAAGAAGAAACACTGACTTCTCTCCATAGAAAGGAATTTGACGTGATAACGTGCCATGGATCTGATATATATTCCTGAAGACCTATCCAGTTGTCCAAAATTTGGAAATAAATCCTGTCCTCCCACCAACCGCCCTTTTCATGTTCGAGTGATCATGTACTCGGTTATGATTACAGCCATGGTTATCACGATCTTTGGAATCTTGGTTATAATGATTTCCATATCTCACTTCAAACAGCTTCACTCTCCCACAAACTTTCTGATCCTCTCCATGGCAACCACAGATTTTCTGCTGGGGTTTGTCATTATGCCATACAGTATGGTACGCTCAGTAGAGAGTTGTTGGTATTTTGGGGATGCCTTTTGTAAATTCCATGCAAGCTTTGACATGATGCTGAGTCTGACCTCCATCTTCCATCTCTGTTCCATTGCGATTGACCGGTTTTATGCCGTATGTTACCCTTTGCATTACACGACCACCATGACTGTCTCCATGATAAAGCGACTGCTGGCATTTTGCTGGTCAGCCCCTGCTTTCTTCTCCTTCAGTTTGGTTCTTTCAGAGGCCAATGTTTCTGGTATGCAGAGTTATGAGATTCTCGTTGCTTGCTTCAAATTCTGTGCACTTACTTTCAACAAATTTTGGGGGACAATATTGTTCACTACATGCTTCTTTACCCCTGGTTCTATCATGGTTGGGATTTATAGCAAAATCTTTATTGTTTCCAAACGACATGCTCGTGTCATCAGTAATATGCCTGAAAACACAAAGGGGGAAGTGAAGAAACATCTGTCTAAGAAAAAGGACCGGAAAGCAGCTAAGACCCTGGGTATTGTAATGGGAGTATTTCTAGCCTGCTGGTTGCCCTGTTTTATTGCTGTTTTGGTCGATCCATATTTGGGTTACTCTACACCTATGATAGTACTTGATTTCCTAGTATGGCTTGGATACTTCAACTCCACTTTCAACCCCCTCATTCATGGTTTTTTTTATCCCTGGTTTCGGAAAGCTCTTAAGTACATAGTATCAGGAAAAATATTTAGCTCTCATTCAGAAAGTGCAAATCTATTTCCTGAAGCACATTAATAAAAGGTCATTACAAAAGTGAACTGAATATTGAAAATGACTTATAATTTTTCCTTCCTCACATGACTGACATCCTCACATTACTGTAAATATGATACTGCTACATTTGAGTAGTTTAGAAAGATTGATACCTATGTACTGTGGCATTTATAGAAGATAAATATTGAATATAAAATAGACTGACAAAAGAACAAACAAATCTGTTTTAGAAGAAATAGAGAACTCCTTCAAAGCATGGTTAGTGAGACTCAATGGTATATAACAACAATAATATTTGATTATTCTATACTCCAAATGTGGACTAAATCAATAACTTTAATCAGCAAATTAATAATTTATAATAAATAATATGTCAATTATTAGTTGTGAATTCTGTATTCAACCTCCAATCATCTCTAAATGGTGGTGGTGGTGGTGGTGGTTGTTAAGTGCCATCGAGTCATAGGCAACTCATAGCAACCCTGTCAAAGAAAGTCCTGGACACCTATATAACTTTCATCCTTTCTCCTGGTTCATAGGGTTTCCAGAGGCAAGCTATAATGGAAGTGGATGCCACTCCTGCTCCCACGTTTGTTTTAATTGGGGAGCTCCACTAAACACTGTCCTGCATGGGTAACAATTCTCGCATTTGATTCATCAATGTCACAGTGTTCGGCTTCACAGCACACACGAGTTACCTCTGTACAGCAAGTGGACATACCAGGGTAACATGACCTAGAAGAATGTTTCACAAAAAACAAAGGCAGGCCTGAGGCCCGCGGAGTAGAGTCACCCACTTCTGGCTTGGGAGCATGACTTTCTGTCTGCTAGGCCAACTGCTCTCTCTCTCTATGCTGTTGTTGTTAAGTGCCGTCGAGTCATAGGCGACTCATAGCGACCCTATGAAACAAAGTCCTGTACACCTGTATAACTTTCATCCTTTCTCCAGGTTCATAGGGTTTCCAGAGGCAAGCTATTATCTAAGTGGTAGTAAAAAAATATACAAAAAATTCAAAACATCATTCAGAATAGATTAAACTGTGGTAAACACATAAGACAATTAAAGACCAATATAAGAATCTTTGTATTTAGATGCCATCAAACCCACCATGACTTAGAGTGACCTAGTAAACAACAGATCAGAACTTTGCCCATTTCACACCATTCTCATGATCTCCAACATGCCCACTGTTATGGTCACTCTGCCAGTCCATCTTGTTGAGTCTCTCTTTTTTGCAGATCCTCCAAACTTCTTAGAATGATGTCCCTTTCCCGGGAATGGTCTCTTCTGATGACATCCCTGAAGTATGCTGGAGGAAGTTTCCCCATCTCTGTCCCTAAGGAGCATTCTGGTTGCACTTCCTTTAAGGTAGATTTGTTCTTTTGGCTGTCCATGGGATATTCCATAATCTTCTCCAACAATACAATTCAAAACACAGATTCAACTTTGATCTTGTTTTTTTAATTAAATTTTATTAATTTTAATGAACATTTACAGAAATTTTGGATTTCCATTCATTCATTGTTGCACTGTTTTCTCTACGATCTTGTTTTTTATTGGCCACTTTTGAGATCTATCTCCAGTAATTGAAAATATCATCAGGCACACATAAGTATTTAAACAGGTATCCTTGTCCTTTTGCACTTTAAAGAGGCCCTTGACAGCAGATTCCCCCAATTCAATACATGTTTTGATTTTTTTGACTACTGTTACCATAGATGTTTATTGTGGATCCAAGAAAAACAAAAGAGAAAACAAATTGATATTTTATTTCTTACCTGATTTCACTCTGCAAGTTCAGAAGAAGGGGAAAAATATTGTTACCTGTGATGCTATTCAAAAGGTTTGACTTATGTCTGGACTTTGTTATAAAAATAGAAGCTACTTTATCACTTGGCTTGGAAGAAGTACTGTTGGTATTAGATACCATTCAGGTACATGTGGCTAGAGTAGAACTGCCCATAGACTTTTCTAGGCTATCACCCTTATAGAAGATCACCATGTCTTTATCAGGTGGAGCTACTACTGCGTGAGGTTGAAGCTCTAAACTTACCATGAGCAGCCAAACACTTAACCAAGGATCCTTTGGAAAAATCATTACGCAACTAATTCAACTATTTCCTAATGCTCTGAAGTTTACTACAGTATGGACCGAATAGGAGGAGCAGTTGGATTGCAAATCATCATATGAAATTTGAGTTTTACTCTTGTGACTTTCCACTTTGTAGTTTGTTGTTGAAATGACGACCTACTTCTTCTATCTCTATCTTTTAATCTACATGTTATATTCAACCATTCACCAAGAATCACAAAGCCTCTTCTTTACCTCCTTCAGTCACATTTTCTGGAAACCTTAGGGTTTTGTCAGTTAAATTTAATACATAACAACAGAACTATGATTTAATCAAATCATTAATGATGTTTGGTGAAAATACTTCCAATGTTGGCTTATTGTTGTTTTGTGAAGTGTTGAGATCCAAACAGAACATTTTCTCTTATTTATAGGCTGGAAACATACATGAGCACATGTGGCAGCCAGGTTATAGCCTTCATTCCTGAAAATATGGGGGAGACAGAGGGATCAGAGGAGGAGCAGAAAGAGGTCAAAATTTCTCCCCTTTTCTGGAACACAAGGTCAACCTTAAGTCAAACTTTGAAAGGATAAAGATGGCCTTAGGCTCTTTTATATCTTTTCAGAGCTCTTTTCTCCAAATACTTAGACATCTGGTGACCTAGAATCAATAATGAAAAATTACCCAGGCTCAATTAATCTTGTGATGAGAAATATGACTCAGTAATAGCTGCCTCCAATTTACTTCAGCCTATTTGAAGAAACATAAGTATGCATAATATATGAGTGATAGTTGTGAAGTATTTTCATGTTTGGAGCTGTGGTGGCCTAGTGCTAAGACTCTACATTGCAATCTCCAAGGCACATGGTTCAAGTACATCAGCTGCTCTGGGGGAGAAGGATCAACAATCTCTTCCTGTGTGACAGTTGTTGTTATGTTGTTATGTGCCGCTTGCAATTCATAGCAACCCTATGACAACAGTCCTAAACTCTGCTCTGTCCTGCGCCAGTCTCACTGTCTCTGA